AATTATCACGAACGCCATCGCCAACCGTTCCCGTTTGATTAATTTTCGATTGCCCCGGATAGAAATAATTCAACGAATGAAAGTGAAATGTAGAAAAAAAGGTGGAAAAGGTGGTCACATTGCACGAGCTGAAGAAAAAGCTCGGGGAAAAATTGATGACAGTGACATAAAATTCCTCGGATCCAGGAAAATAAAATAAAAATAAAAAAAGACTAAAGGACTTGATCTGGCTTCGCACGCACGCGTAATATGAATGATTCGGTTTGATTTTTGTGTGAGCCCCGCTTCGATCTCAGCGGGATTTATTTTGAAATCGATGATTATAATTGTTTTCGAAGTACCAAAAAATTTACTCTAAGTGAACCTAATATTTACACCCGGCTCAAGCTCCGATGCAATGTATCGTCATTTGTTACATTTATTGAAGCACAAAGTGTTTCGAATCATATTTGTACATGTGGATTCTTCTCTCGAATTGAATTCTTTTCAATTATCAATGGCTATTCAACAGACCCCTTTGACGTATACTTCGTTCCGAAGAGGTAACAATGGATTGATGGACATTTCGTGGACGACATACCATAGTATGATAAGATGATAAAATTGAATTGTGTGATGCAGAACATCTTTTAGATATAATAATGCAATCAAGCTTGCGCCATAAGAGGCAAATTCTTGCTTTCGGAGAAGGGAAAACGACTTCAAGCTACTCGACAGATGTGACAGCAACTATGGTGTTCTAACTTGGACGAAGCACAAGCAATAGAGCTTTTATGAATTTCGTCCATGTCATGTCAAACCATATATTGAAAAGGGGTTAAACAAACCCAAAAGAGAAGTTCTGTCGTCGGGCATAAGAAAGGGAACTATTTAGGCAGCCAAACTTGGAAAGATGACGATGGAAAGATCTTTATCACAACATTAGGGAGAGAAAGGATAATTGAAGAAAATTATGAAAATCTATGAATGCATTTCATGAAAAGCTAGGATAATTGATAAAAGTTATAGAAGTTAATATCACGAAAAACCCCAAATTGGTATATCTGTAATAAATTTACCACAAACTAATTTTTTGAACACAAAAAACTCCAAACTAGTATACCTGTGACAAATAAACCCTCTGTTAGTTTCCGTTAGATTTTATCGTCAAATTGTTGAGTTGAATGACACGTGGTAGTTGACGGGTGTATCAGTTTAGGGTTTTAATCCTCTATTTGTCACATGTTTATCAATTTGAGGTTTTTCATGGTATTAATCCAATTGAACAGAGAGTAAATTTGTCATAAATATACTAGTTTTGAGTTTTTTGTGGTCAAAAAATTAATTTTGGGTAAATTTGTCATAGGTGTACCAGTTTGGAGTTTTTCGTGATATTAACCCAAGTTAGAACTTGGTGCAAAGAAAATTGTTCACAAGCAATATTTTCCATAATTTATGGGTTGTAATAATCCACTTGATTATGTATTTACCACCAAATTGAGAATTGATCAGGTTAATTCAAGTTTACAGTGATGGTGGATGCTTTAGTTACTCTAAATTAACGGGTTTCTATTGAGAGAATTGGTTGATACAGAAGCTTGAGGGACCTTTTTGGAGAATAAACTTGATATATTGGGATTCACCTCACGAACTAGCTATATATTTGAAAACTTGCACATAAAAGTCACAATCCAATATGGAAAATGCTTATTAGAGGATGTGCAAACGCATTGCGCGTGTACTAGAAATCGACATTTGAAAATTAAGTTTGTCACAAAATATTTGAATGATTAATTAATGAAAACAAATTAGTTAACATAAAGAAATTGTATTTACGAAAAGGGAATGGCTTTCAACATTTAAAATCTTTTTAAGTAGGTCGTTGTAGCATAGAAACTACACAAATTATAATAATGAAAAACGTGAAAGATAAAATAAAATTCTAAATTTACACATTCGTCCATAGACACAACATTTGTAAAATAAGTAATTAAAAATATAATAAAACCGATTAAAAGTAATCCCTCAAGCACATGATATAAAAATTGATCATATGTCCATAATAATATGCTAATAACATATCTCTTCATTTATAATTTTTGTTTCATTCCAATCTCGTAGACTATGCTTTAGGCTATAGCATAATGTCATCGATCATGAATCTCTCGTACTCCTGTACCCTTGTGAGTGGTGCTCGGGGTTATCGGGTGAAAAGTCAGGATACAGAAGGGATAAATATAACTAGGTCGTGGGAGTGGTGTTAGGACGGTTGGTACTATGAGTTCTAGGATGAAACGAATATACCTTTAATAGCTTCGAAGGTGAGGTTGGCCTCCCGTGCATAAACTGGTCGGGAGGTGATGCCGCTCTCCTGATGAGGTCATGACAGACCGAAACCAGTTGTCATACTTAAAGTATTCAGTGTGTCTCGCTTGATGGACTAGATGTCTGAACTATACTCGGCATAGTACGATCCGATATGAGGAAGCTATTTGCCGTATTGTTCTCTGGAACAGCTGGTGAACAAGGGCTAACCTGATGTGAATGACGCATCAGGTGCCGCACGGGCTATTCCGTGGCCAATGAATTGCCAGCCCGTGACAGATTGTATCAAAGCAGGGATCCCTCCAGTAGGTGAGTGAGTCGAAGAAAACCTATGGTCTACCTAATCCTACGAGGGCGGATAGTGTATCGCCAGAGCCAAAAGATGCTCGAACAAAGTGCGGCTCTCGACTTGCTTCTAGGATGACAATGGGGGCACATGATAGAACTGATTCCTCACTGAATAGGAAAAACGTTCCTGGATCAATTTGGCGAGTCTCAAGATGGGTCTACTATCATGTTATCAACAAGGAGAAAAACCTCTATTGGTCTGCCGAGAACATGAGAATTTCGAAGTAGGCGAAGAATAGTGCTGCCAAAATGGTGCAGTTAACGAAATATGCCACACTTGTTAGGGAAAGCACTGGTGACCGAGGGTGCCGAACGGCTCTGATCGAGAAAGCCACTAGTGGAGAAAAGTTGTTTGGTTGGGCGAGCGTGCACCACTTATATAAGTCCCGAAAAAGAAGCGGCATTGATGGTGAGAATTGACGCAAGGAAGCGATAGAACAGCCCGCAACGAGGGCATTACGGAATTGAGTGGGGGAGAATGTCACTCTCTCGTACTCTTGTACCCTTGTGAGTGGTGCTCGGAGTTATCGGGTGAAGAGTGAGGACGCAGAAGGGATAAATACAACTAGGTCGTGAAAGTGGTGACAGGATGGTTAGTGCTAGGAGTTCTAGTATGGAACGAATATACCCTTAGGAGCTCTGCCTCCCGTGCATAAACTAGTCGAGAGCTGATGCCGCTCTCCAGATGAGGTTATGGCAAGCCGAAACCAGTTGTCGTATCTAAAATACTATGTGTGGTACAAACTAGTCGGGAACGAATATACCCTTAGGATCTCTTGATTTCTTGCTCGATGGATTAGACGCCCGAGCTATGCTAGGCGTGGTACAATCCGATACAAGGAAGCTATTCACCGTATTGTTCTTTGGAACAACTAGTGAACGAGGGCTGGCCCGGTGTAAACGACGCACCAGGCGCCGTACAGGGTATTCCGCGGCCAAAGAACTGTCAGCCCGTGACAATAGCATGTGTAATAGGGAAGGGAGAATTCAATTATTAAATCAAGAGATCTTCATTTACAAGTAAACATGTAAACCAAATGGCCCTGATCCTTTCAAATTATACATCAATATTCCATTTAATTGCGCATTTTTGTTACTGAAGTTCTCGTACTTGTACATATAGAACACGTAGCTTCCATTTAGGATTTTACTTTAACAAAAAAGCTTTTATAATTAAACGGTGTATTCACATATTAATCATTGTATTATCTTTATTTGTGAAGTTTCTTCAGTTTTCAACTGAATATCTTATATGTACTATTAGTTAAGTATACTAATCATGAGATATAATATGACAGTTTTACTTGTGTAATTAAGTGTTTAATTGTAATCAAATCGAAATCTGTAATGTAGACGTAATTTTTCTAACGCTCTTGATTTCTTGTTAATTACAAGATAATAAGAAGTGTATACGAAACTACATCGTTATATCCTAACAATTTTTGACACACTTATTGACTCATGTGTATATAATGTACTATGGAAAATTTTCTTAATTAGCATATGACGGAAACTCTCGGAAATTTCATTTTAAAATTTGGTCATATATGTTTTTTGAATGACTTTTATGTTTTACTTTCTGTTTTTTCAGAAACTTGCGGCTGACTCTATCTGACTTTTTTGAACAGGAATGACCTAAAACTTTTACACTATAAAAATGTTGATCCGTCAATTTTCACGGTAAGTTTTTCTCTAACATTTTAAAGTGTGAATAACATTATACATTTTCGGGACAAAACCAAACAGGTACTTTTTGCTCGTGCAAGAAAGAAAAAAAAACGAACACTCCTTACCCATAAGTTCAGAGATCGACGGCGAATCCTTATTCTGTACCATATTTTCATTTTGTATCTAATTACTATTAGAGCCCGTACATCCACGAAACAAATCCAAGATAAGATACATCATGAATGTAATGACATCTTCTTTGTCCAGTGCAAAAACACATGAGTAATAAAGGCTAATAAATTTGTTAGCATTTACACCACGCAATGCATTTCATATTCCATAATTCATTACCATGAAGCACAAGAAGCCGCAATCAAAGCCACACCCGAATTTTTGCCGGTATGTACCCTTTTTTGTACACATCCCACATTTACCACGGTTGATTTGGATAGGTGGTCAAAATTTCAAATTGTAACTATCCAATTAACAATGATGAAGATAGGTTATGTACGAAAGTAAGTACCCAAACTATGTATCATGTAGACATGTAACTTTTGCCAGGTCCTTTGAATAACAAAACAAGCGAGAAAACCAAAACAAGCCGTGAGCCGTAAGAAAGGGGGAGCTGTGTTTTATTTAGGCAGCCGACTTAGAGAGAGAAAAGGAAGGCAAAGAAAATAAAACCCCACACTCAAGAACTTGTAGAGAGAGAAACCAAGAAAAGGAAGAAGATACATGGGACCACACTCAATCCCCTCTTGTTCCAATAATGCCGCTTTGACAAAAACAACATAAACAATCACAAAGTGTGCTCACTACGGTTTAGATTCTCCAAATTTCTCCACCACCACCTATAAATCACTCCCATTCCCTTCCTTCACCACTAATACATCCTCTCAAAACCCCCACCTCTGTACCCAGTTCATATCATCACGATTCCCATCTCTCGCTCCTCAATCTTCATGGATTTCGAATTTCAAGAATCCGACATAGTTTTCTCCGATCAAGATCAAGCAACGATGGATCGGAGCAGCGATGAGGATGAGCACGATTACTGCGGTTTTTGCAACACAGTGGTGGCACCGATTCCCGACAACTCGTGGGCGCTTGGTAAATCGAAAAAGAAGAACGCCAAGAAGAAGAGGATGACGAATTCGCCGCCGGTTGATATCCCAGAAACTTACATCCGGTCCCCTGAATCCGATTACGCTTTCGAGGAGGGGGACGACGAAGGAGAGGTCGTGCCGCCGCACTTGATTGTTGGGTGGCGCATGGCCGCGAGGATGGCGTCCTCAGTGTGCTTTAGCCATGGGAGGACGCTCAAGGGGAGGTATTTGAATGAAGTGCGGAATTCAATTCTTAAAATGACAGGCTTTTTGGAGTCATGAGAAGCTCACTTTTGGAGATTTCATTGTCGTTACCTAGCACACAAAAAATGTCAAAAAAAGGGAAGGAAAATGTCAAAAAAAAGCAAAAAGTCATTTTCCATTTTTCTTCTTTCTCTTCATCTCCATTTTCTTGCTGTCTTTTCAGTTTCTTTATAGATAGTCATGCAGTGTAATGGAAAGGAGAACTTTGGATTCAAAATGGGAAATGTGTAATTGTGGGTTCCTATGCAATTCATACTACTTCCCTAAAATTCATGTACAGACAGCTTCTTGCATTAATGGTGGGTTTAATGTGTATTGTCTGAAAACCCTACCCGTGCAGCTGTTATATGAGGAAGGGATTTTCTTTATTGTATGTGATAAATTGTACAAACAGTATAGTTGAAGGTATTGCAAGCCTTTGGAGAGAAGGAAAAAAAAGGGTATTGCAGGTCAGGGGCTTTTCAGTATTAATGAGAAGCCATTAATATATGTATGTAATTAATAGTGGAATAATACAAAATTGGTATATTAAGTGATATGGTAGATTTTGAATGATTGTTTAAATCAATAAATTATGTTCAAAATCCAATTTATGAAGCCTATCATGTCATTTCGTATATTAAATATTTTAATCTGTCTTGCATACTGCCATGGTAATTACAAAAAATTGCTCGTCTTAAATAACTTTGAATTAAGTATATGGCTGTTATGGTATGTAAAATATTGGTTGAATAATCGCAGGAATTTAATATTGAGGGTTTTCGGCAAATAAAAGAAACAATGTATATTTCTGGGTTGCTACCGGTCCGTGGTTTGGAAGATTTCTCTATTCATCTAAGCAAAGTTGACGACACTCAACGATATAAATAATATAGAATTGAACCGGTATGATTATGTCTTTTAATCTTATCTAATGGAAGATGTAGATTGGGCTCTTCTTAGGGCCATAAAATATGGGATAATGCGGCGCGTGTCATTTCACAATTGTAAAAAAGTAGCTCCTTCGACCGGTACATAATCACCAATGTTAAATAATCATGGTCAATAGAAGCATTCGTTTTCATGAGATTGTTGATAAGCATACGAGGAAAGTAACTAAGAGACGACAAGATTCTTGGACACTTTGGGTTATGATTGCATAGTGCTTTACTACGTTGTCTACTGTTCATGCCCAGTTTTGGATGGCTGTGATTGTCACAATCATGTCGAATAACAACAAAACTAGGCATCACAATTGTATGTTCCATATTGCAATGATCAAGCAATAGAGGAAACATGTAACATGTCGAGAATTTCTCTAGAAACTAGTTTTTTTTTTCTTTTTTAGAAACTAGTTGGTTGATGAAAAACGATTTATTGAAATTTTTTTCAGGCTTTCAGGCGTTTGAACGACGAAAAACTACTTGATTGGCACTTCCATTGACTGAAAAGAACAAGCTTAAATTTTGAAAAAACAACTTATCTTTCTGACAAGAAAGATTTCACTATCCTTCTTTTTCTTTTTTCTTTTCTGATGAGTCCTGTGTGTTTTTTCCGTAAATCTTATGTAGCATCTCTTGAATACTTCATTAATTCTCATGTTCTTTTATATTTGCCGAAGAAACATGATCATAAGATTTTTTACAAATATGATTTCAAAAACTATTTCCTAAATTTTTTTGATAATTCTTGTTATTTTGATAGATTAGAATAAATAAAGAATATTTTAGACTCTAGTTTGTTGGTCTTTACATGTCGTTTCTAACTATACAAGTTGCCTTTAGTAGAATCGCTGATTATCAAATACCATATAATTAACTTTTTTCAACTAATTTTCATCGCAAATAAATCCCAGAAAATTATTTACTTCTTGTGAAATTGAATTTCCTAAAATCACTTTCCATGGACAAGAAATTTTCAGTTAAACAAACATATCTAGGAAAGATAATTTCTTTCAATTGCATGCACTAATTAACAATTATCAATTAGTCACTACCTATTTCTAATCAAAGATTAAAGCAAATTCTACAAAATTAAGAAGGGGCAATTTACCAGTCAACAATTTCTCTCTCTCTCTCTCTCTCTCTCTCTCATTTTCTCACAAATCTACTGTTTGAGCGCATGTCAAATACAGAAAAGTAAAAATAAATTAATTCTGATTACAAAATAATTTTCAAATAACTCATGTCTTACCCACATGTTTGACTCTTTTTTTTTTTTTTTTTTGGTCAGCAAATATTATATCTTATACTCATTCAAGTAAAAGTTTGCGACAATATACATGTTTGACTCTTTACATGGCATATTTAGCTTTCTTACGGTAGATGGACAGAGGCCCCACATCGAGCGTAGATCAACGACCAGCACAGCGTGAAAAGCGCGAGGCCACGTGCTGACACGGCTTCCATCTATATTATAAGAAGATTTTACGTGTTCTATATTAATATTAATGGTTTCACACTGTCAGTTTTTCATTGGTTAACTTCTATATTGGGAGGGAGCGTGTGTGTTTATCTGTTTCTAGATTATAATAATTGCTTTCGCAGATGAGGAAACAACGAGGAGAGAGTGTTATGTGAGAATGGAGAAGGAGAAGGAGAAGGGAGAAGAAAGTCAACTCGTTTTTATTTTGTGTGTGGGTATGTTGCAGTTCACGACCCAATCAGATCCCAAGACTGGAGAAAAGTATATTATAATGAGTTTGAAGCGGGTGCTTGGTTGTTGGGATGCATATGGATTGGCATGACGAATGCTAATTCTTGTGGAAACTTGTCAATCTCAATTTTGGTTGGTCAAACATTGAAAAATGAAATAGGTGAACAAGATAAGGTGGGTTGAAAATTGCTAGGAGTAAATATTTACATTAACACCTTAAGTTTACTCGGAGAATAATAATAACTATAGTTGTTGTTGTTGTTGTTGTGGTGACACTAACATTAGAAGTGTACTTCATCGTCTTTTCTCGCCATTCACCGAACTCCCATAAAAGCAAAACCGGACTATCATTTTGAGCAAACCAATTACCTTGAAAACTTTTGTTTTCATTCTTTTTTGGTTACTCAATTACTAGTCTAGCTTTTAATGAAATTAAAAACTTTATTTATTATAATTTCTAGCATATGAGATTCCGTTACTCGATACGACAATTGTAAATTACACTCATTAAGATATGCAATATCAAACTATATATATGTGTGTGTGATCAATAATTTCTTATTGACAACCGAGTAAGTCAAAGTGTCTTAACATAAAATTGTTCAAATATTTTTAGTTTTGTGTTATTAGAGAAATAACTCAAATTTCTCTTGAAAGAGAAAAGGGCAACTTAAAGAAAGGGAGGACAACTCGATCAATCATATAATTATATCGTCGAGTGAAAAAAAAAAATTCGCCTTTCAAATAAATTGTTTGCGAATTTGGGAGTGCAGAAACCAAACATAACCAACCAATGAAACGTGGACCCGTCAATCAACAGTAAATAAACCATTCCCTTAGGGTGGTCTCCTCAGAATCGTTCTTCCACGTGGCTTAATGTTCTTTAGTTTTCATGCAATGAGGTTTCTCCTGAATCGAATTGCTTTATTCTTTGAAATTTGGGTTTTATAGGTTCGACTTTGCTATCACGAAGATGATGAACAATCGTTTCGTGTCCTCAAAAATAATGAAGAACTGATTTTGAGAGAGAGAGAGAGAGAGAGACGTGATGGAAGGAGTTGCCCACAGTTTGCGCTACTAATTACAATTGGCACATGACCTTTCCTTTAATCTTGATTTCATGGGTTAAGCAAGCTCTTGGAGAAAATATTGTGTAAGATTGTCTTGCCACGTCATCGCTAAGACAATCCATTATGTGTGCGACATGTGTCAAAGTGAGTCCCACCTCTCAGGGGATTTTGAAAATTCCCTCCCATCTCTGTCTCCATTAGTTTCGTTAACGCTTGCTCTCTCTCTCCCTCCTCCCGAGAAGAAGCTCTCTCTCTCCCCATCGCTCTTCACGTCAAAAACACAAACAAAAGCTTCACGAACAGTAGCTTTCTCTCTCCCAAAATTGCCTTTGTCTTCTCATTTTCTCTGAAATCTCAAGGAATGAAGCCGCTCCATTCTTGCCGTCGCCGCGGCCATCTTCTTCCTCCTCTTCTCGTCATTGCCGCTGATGGAAATTCCGGAAATGACCTTGAGCTTGTGCTCGGGCTCGCCCTGCCTCTCTCGCTTCCCTCACTCTTCCTCCCTCCACCTCTCCCGATGTTGCTCCCCGAGCACCAACACGATCCTGCTGTCCATTCTCCTCTGCAGCAGCGGCGGCGGCGGCAATAGCCACTGCCCACCGGCTCCGCGCCATCTCCGGGATTCGGTGGCTCCTCCCCCCGCCGTCTTGCGGCGCTCCTCCTTCGAGTGCAAGGCCTCGTTGAGCGAGAGCAGCGTCGCCGGCATAAAAAAGATGTAAATCCAATCTTGATGTTCCCCTGCATAAAAAAGATTGAAGTTATGAAATAAACTTAAGTATATTAGAATTATTTTATTATATTGAACATTAAATTCTCTGTCGATAGCGTACAACTGGGTGTCAATGAGTCGGTTATAATATCATTTGAATACCAATGTCGTGGATTAATTTTAATATATCTAACATAACTTTTCTAGTTGTATATTCCACAAGTTAGCTTTATGAATATGACTGGTGTAGATATCATCTTTGAAAGCATAGCTATTAAATATGTCTTGAATTTTATGTACTCGCTCCGGTTCATTACCCGATCCGACATATTTTTTGTGCGACCCAAAAGTTGAGAAAAATTGGGATTTAGTTTGTGAATCAGCCCAACCCGGAGCAAGCAAACAAATCTCTATGGCGGTCTGCCCAAACTGGAGCAAGCGAACAAATGTCTTGGGGGGTTTGGGGGCTACGCCCCCGAGGAAATTTTTTGGGGAGCCTTATTTATACTGCGGCTAGGTTTTTTCATTGATTAAGAGAGATTTTCGTTTTGGGAGAGATTTGTGAGCCGTGAGATTTTGTTAAGTCGTTTTTTCGACTTTTGAAAACCGTACTCTCTTTAATTATAGTGTAATCTTGTCTTGCCTCGCCCGTGGACGTAGATCACTTTGTGATCAAACCACGTAAATCCTTGTGTTCTGTATTTATTTTTTCGCGTTTGTTTCGATCAATAGCAAAAACCCAATACTTTCACTTGGGGAGACAGTCAAGAGAGAGCTCAAGTTCGAACCTGTTAACATATCCAGTTGAATCCACCTTCACTCAAAAGCTTAAGCCAATGAGTTATGGGCCAACTAGGATATATTAACTACTCGACACCACATCAATTATTTGATATGAGACTTCTCTAACACATTTCATATGTGCACTTCAACAATCTCCCCCTCACGTGTGATCTTAGT